GGTGATGACTAGCTGCCTTCCCTCTAGTCTTTCACTGCTAAATTAGGGACGGCTAGCGCAGATAGCCCTCGTGTAGCTTTGCGCGAAATTCCAAAACAAACAAACAAACAAACTTGAGGTTCTATCCTAGTTAAACAACAACAACTACTGTGATCAGGAATTAATGTCACAGGAAATATTATTTAGGCAACTCCTGACTCAGAGTTATTATATTACTTACTTAAAATAACTATTGATTCCGGGAGCATTGGCGTGTTATTGTTTTTGAAGAAATTCTTCCATTAGGAATAACTACTGCTAATTAAGAATTTATTATAAAAATGTATATTTATTGGGAACAGTTAATGAGAAATATTTTGATTGCGTTTTCGGAGTAAAAAACAATTTTTGATTGAAGAACTACCACCAAGTTAATTTCCTATTAAAAAGTTATCACGAAATCGTGATTAAGAAGTTATTATCAAGGTGATACTTTATTGAATATTACGTTCTGAGGTAATTGGTATTTGAAAATTTTGACACAGGTAATTTCAAATTCTTGAATGTCGAGTAATAGTAAAAAGAGACTAGGCGATCGTGGCCCAGAAATTAGCGTGCCAGACAAAGAAATTGAGGTTCCGTTGTTCACTGCACTTTGGAATCGTGGTTGCGTTATAAGAGTAACGGTAACTTCCCATTAGTTGGTCTAACAAGAATAGACCAAGAATAGTCGGTGGTAGTATTGATTAGCTACTATCCCTCTAGTCTAGACTATCACTTTCAAATTAAGGACGGTTATCACAGATAGTCCTCGTGTAGCTTCGCACGCAAGAAGAGACAGGAGATTCAATAATTATTACAACAGCTTGAGTGTAATATCCAAGAGGCGAGTTCTGTTTATCTGTGGTAAACTCTACACTTAGAATTATTACAACAGCTTAAATGTAATATCCAAGAGGCGAGTTCTGTTTATCTGTGGTAAACTCTACACTTAGAATTATTACAACAACTTGAGTGTAATATCCAAGAGGTGAGTTCTGTTCATCTGTGGTAAACTCTACACTTAATAAACTGACGAATGCTGGCTGGTTATTTATTACATAGTTGTAAAATTAATTTAACAGAAATATCTTTCATTGTTGTGTCAATAGAAAGGTTTTGGACGGTGGTACAACAGGCATCATGCATTTTTTTTGAGTTCACGTTTTAGTCTCTCATACTTCGTCTCTTCAATGGGTTGGACGTGGACTAGTGATTAGCGAGACCGAAGTGTGTATCCGAGGGTCCGTGGTTCGCGACCTGTTGCCGCTAAAGTGAGCTCCGCATTTTGAGTCAATTTCCATTATTTGCTTTTCTTCTAGTCTATCCCTTAAAATAGGCCTTGTGTAGCTTTGCTCGAAAATTCTAAACATAATAATTTCTTTGAGATCCAAGTGTGCTTCCAAGTCAGCTATATAAAGATGTGTTATATAGAAAAAGCAAAGTTTTATAAAATGGCAAACCCTGTGAAAATGTAATATAAAAATGGGTAAACTAAAGAGGAAAAAAATAGGGAATCTTATTCCCTTTTTGTATGTGTTATTGCTTGTACCAGTTTCTATAGAAATTAAACAGACTTTCCATTTGCTTCCTGTTTATCTTGCCTGTTTTTTTACTTTACATTTCTACAGGATTTATCCTTTTATAAAACATGGCTGACTCTCTTTATTCTAGCTTTATTCTTTTCGTACATGTAAAATGTTTGGATGATTCCTAATTACTCTTAAAATTAGACATCTTCCTTGATGTTACTTTTTTTATTTTAATTCATTTCCTTGACGCTATCTTCTCTATTTTAATTCCTTTTACAAGAAAATCACCAACGGTAAATTCCGCAGACTTATAGCAGATGTTTGGCATAAGCGGCAAAATATATTTAAGGTTGATTCTATTATTTTTTCTAGTTTGTACTGAATCAAGGCAGGTTATTTTTGAAGTATGTAAGCTTCTGATTTGAAAAAAAAAGCACAGAAGAAGCTAGTTACGAATAGATCTTTAATCCTGAGGACTTCATAATCTGCTGGTTTAGAACATCATTTTCCTATTCTTTCCCTTTCGGAGAAATAGGCACGCCCACGACGCTACTGAAGTAACTAGGCACGCGCTTTTCCGCGGTTCAACATGCTGAAGCGCGTGCCAGACAACGCTACATTGAGTGGATTCAAAAGAGTGCGGGCAGCTTCAGAGAGCAGCAGTCAGATTTCGTCACACTCTGGTCGGTAGTTAAAAGAACAAAACAAAAACTCAGACCTCAAGAGCAATTCATCATATATTTAACACAACAAAATCTTATTGTTATATAGATTAAACAATTAATTTCGAGTGTTGTATTGATTTAAGAACATAACCAGTACATACAAGTTTAGTAATAGGGTTTAGTTATAAAGAACTGTTAAATTCTACTGTGAACTTCATAACATCTATCAAGACTCAGAAATGTGATTATCTTTCGACTTAAACCAGAAGCTACTTAGTGTTTCAGGCAACGTTATCATCGTGAATAGAAGTGACCAGAGACTGTCATTGTCATGTAAGTATTTTACTTTCTTTTAAACTTGTTGAAATGGTCTAGAAGAAATATAGACTTAACTAATCTAAAGCTAAATAACCATACGGCTATTCTAAACATACTGCATTTTGTGTACGTCATGTTACTAAATATTCAGGCTCCCAAACACTGACATCCTGAATGAAAAAAAAACAAACAAACATGGATTGTTATTACCATGTAAATATTACCTTTTCTGTTTTATTCTACATCATTTATGTTATTTCAGTTTTACGACTTTTAAAATATCTTTACAAATATTAACATTAGAATATATTCTTAACAGTCTTATTTTATTTGATAAATTAATTCGGAGATCATGAGTAATCTTACTCATTATTATTTGCTTCAGCGAGAAGCTTACGAATTTAAAGTGGTTATATTCTTGTTGTATTAAGATTCTTATAATAAGACGCGTGTTATATCTTGTATATGTATCAAAATCTAGGAAATATACAAAAATGGGTTAACCAGAAAAGCTATTAAAAATGTGCATCTTATCTCGATTAACATCATATTTAGCATTGGATGCCAGTGCATCTTATACAGGATAACAGTATATCTCATATTGAAAGGTAGTATATCACATGATGGGTGCTAGCTAATATATATACATCCCATGTTAGATGGTATAACACTGAAAGTAGTATATTTGTTATTGAATGTTAGTATATTTTACATTCCATGGCGGTATTTCTCGTAATGTACGTTGTCGTGCTAGATGGTAGTATGTATATATATATTACTGGATGTTATTGTACTGTGTACTAGGTGACTATACATCTCATGCTGGATTAAAGTGTATATCATACTGAGTAATGGTATGTCTGATTTGGGACGATAAGATAATAGTATATCTAAAATAGTTGATATTAGCATATCTCTTACAATAAATTAATGTCGCTTCTTTTTAGATGAAAAAACCCGAGCAACTTATATATCAAAACAAAACATTTAGT